CATCCTGTCGTATCGTCACAACCAATACGTTCCAGCACCACAATGGCTAAGGTAGTCGTTAATGTATATTAAATGCGCGTGTTCTAGCTGCTGGAATGTAATAACAATAATTTGCTGATGGCAGCATATTAAGCAGACATGCCAAAAAGAGGATCTTCAGGGTGACATTTATTTAAAGGATATATTTCCTGATGCAATTATTAAACACACATTAATATTAATTCTACAACGTTTTATTTCCTTCAACTATAGTTTTTTCCGAAAACAAGAAGAATAGAACATATTCGTTGAAGCTTTTAGAATGCATAATGCTTTTACTGGGGAGGAGAGAAAGAACATGAGAAAATTCCAAGATTTATTGGATCTCAGTATATTCCTGATAAAACTTCATAATTTTAACTTTGACAAATAAAGTTTGCGTGCAACTTTTGTAATATGTAACAACACCAAACGCATAAAATTCACTTATTTAGAAAAAATACATTAATTGAACTTCATCGATTAAATCGCAGCGAAATTGTACATGTATAAAATACTTTGAGGTCTGCGACTTGTATGCATGTGTGTTATGTTCTGTGTGTTCGTGTGTGTACATACGCGTGAAAAAACAAAGAAGCGTGACGAATGTATGTTTAGTTAGAGCTCGGTTGAAAAAAGTATGCACATACGCATTCAACGTAAAAATAAATAAATGGTGTTTGATATGCAATCGGACACACAATTAACAAAGGTTAATCTGAAAGTTTTCATTTTCGTAAGTAACTGCGAAAGCTCGTGCAGTATGTAATTTACAATATAGAATATATTATTACAGGACTGGTCCTCTCGTACTTGTTATCCATGACCGTTTCCTTATGTAAACGACAATTATGTACATACCATTATATGTATTCATCTGCTGTAAATGTTACGTACATTAATATATTTTATAATAAAAAGGAAATAAATGAAAAAGCGTATGTTGATTTTCCTGTTCATTCTTTTACCTCAAGTTAATTGTGCATCCGTATTAGGTAAAACCACTAGTTGTGGATCACTCTTTAAAAAAAATTCATATTTTTATCCAGAACAATTTCAAACAATTAATAAAATATTTAATAGTCATGATTGATTATAAAAATTATGAATGATTTAATTCCATTTTATTGCCGTTTTATATGTTTTAATTTGAATTAAATAAACTAATGACAATTATCCACAATTAGATCCACTAATTGTGGATCAATTCACCAAATGCATAATTTATCTTTTTTGGTGACGTTACTACATCCCATAAAGATAATAAAAATTATTTGCGCATGTATATCCCGATAAAAAATGTTTCATGCATAAATATATATGAATATGTATAAATGTATATAAATACACATAAATATTCATAAACATGTACAATTATGTATGAAATATGTTCATACATGTTTATACATCTTTTTTTCTTTCGTAAAATTACTTTTTAGTGTAATAGAAATAATAATAGTAATGTGAAAACATTAAAAATAATTAAAAGTGTAATTTTCGCACTATTTGTTTTACAAAAAATTAAGTTTGAAGAAATGTAAAAAAATTATTTATGTATAATTATATATAAAATTATGCATAATTATGTATGAGAAATTTTTTTTACATTTTTCCAAACTTGTTTTTTTCTAAAACAAACGATGCGAAAATTATCCCTTTAATTATTTTTTATATTTTCACATTAATATTATTACTTCTATTACACACTAAAAAGTAATTTTACAAAAGAAAGAAGGATGTATGAATGTGTATGGACATATTTTATATATAATTATACATGTTTATGAATATTTATGCGTGTTTTTGTACGTTTATACATATTTGTACATAACGAAATTAAATTTGACGATCCACACCTAGTTCTAAGGTCTAATTGTGGATAATGATGCAATTTTAACACATTCAAGTTTTTTTATTTAAAATTAGTGACAATTAAAAATTAATGAGAATTTTTAAAAAATGATGAAAATTAGACGTTTAACAATAAAAAACAGTTACATTATGAATAGTAAGATCATTTGTAAGATTTCTCAAGTTTTTAAATATTTTTATAATAAATTTACGCAATAAAATTATCGTTATAACATAGTGATTAAACAACATCCGCGGACACATTTAATTTCGACTGAGCATAACGTTGATTTTTTTCATGAAATCTAATGCTATTTACAACCTACTTTAAAAGCCATAAGGCAATTCTTATATGATATTACACTTTGAAAGACGTATGTACCTTTTTAAAGGTACATACGTTAGTTAACCTCGCACATTTAAATAGTTAACGACATCAATAAAATGTGTAGCGCTGTTCCTAATAAATTAAATTCAATTGGCACTTGAAAGAGATAAAACAAATGCTAAAGAATCTTGTGATATGTATCATTTAATGAAAAATACTATAATTATTTAAATATAAAAAGTGAGTAATTCAGAACTAATTCACATCTAGTGATTTTATCTTACTATATTTTAACTTGGATTGATTTTAAGTTAATTTTTCATTTTCATTTAGTTTAAAATTAATATATTATCAAAAATATTTTAACTCTTGTTTATCATCCAATATCCATTCTGCCGCTTCAGTATGTATTTTCATCAACAATCGTCCAATTACGTGTGCATAGTGACCTAATTGCGGGCTTATTCAGTCCTGCTTGCATCATCTTCCCTCGAGGAGAATGGATAAGATGAAAGAGGATTTATGGCAAAGATCACTTTCGAGGGCAAATGCTCTTACGTGACACGAAGTAGTTTCCTATAAGCGGACTAGTGTAAAGGAGAAGAGAGGAGATGGAGGAGGATAATGACATTGGTGCAGAGAGGTTGAGAGAAGAGAGGAATGCGGTAACGCGGCGAATCAGCGACACGATAAAAACAGATGATGAGATAAGCGAGGACAGAAGAGGTTGCGTTGCGCACCGGTGAATGAATTGGATCAATACCGATCGTTGAGAGAGAAGCGCACTTTTACATTAGCTCAATAATATTTGATACAAAGGAACTTACGAATCGGATAAGAATAAACATTTACGATGTTGAGTCGCGATGTAAAGAGAAGAGATGTAAATAAAATGCGCAAGAAAAAAATCACGTTGTCTTTCATTCATTTTCTAAGTGCATGTCGCTCGACTAGGAACGAATTAATCGTTTAACGAGATCGCTTTACGAGGACGTAAAACGACGATAATAAAAATGCGGATAATGAGGAGTAATTTCGAATGCGCTTATAGCGAGAAGAGATGTAATAAAACTCCTCGGAAATTCTCGATAGTAGGGACAAATTTAGCTCAAAATTCTCAACTTACGCAAAACTAATCTGCGAAAAAATAGAAAATTCAAAAAGAGCCAAGACATTTAAAGTTGATCTTTTATACGACGTGTATCTTTACGAACGCTTTAATGCGATATTATCAATTCTGATTGAGTGTTCACAAAATTTATGTATCATATTTATTCGAGAAAACCAGCAATATTAAAGTGATATTTAACACCGTTTCACAGCTTTATAATTAGCAATGGTATTTGATAAGGTTAAACAATAAGCAATAAATATTTATTGTATATAATTAATAAAAAAATAATTCGCTATTTAAATTAAATTAAATTTAATATTTAACAAATTTTCTGAGTTTAAATTTAATATAATATTTACATTTATATATTGTGCAAATTGTATCATAATATAATGTCATATAATGATAAATGATTATTTCTACTTTATAGATTGTAAAGAACGAGATAAAGAGGTAAAAAAAGGGGTAAATACAACTTTCTTAATCATCGCATCGCAGATGAGGTGCAACTTAATATCGATATCAGGTTATCGATGATAAAATACGAATATCCCATTTCGTATATATGGCTACAATATCCACGGCTTCTGAGTGCCGGAGGTTGTATCCCTAATTCTCGGTCGAAGGATCCACTTTCGGTGTCGGATCATGAACGCAGGAAATAACTTTGGATCGCTTTTAACTTATGTAGAGAAAACAATGTAGAAAATTGTGTAATTAAATTGTGTAATGAAAATTCCACGTGTACAAGTAAATACGAAGAAAATAAGACGGCATTTTGTAGAATGAAAATGTTTAGAATAAAAAGTAAATTCGATCGACCATAAGTACAACAAAAGTACTTATGGTCGTTCTAATTTACTTTTTTACGCTGTAATCCGGTTGTACGGCCCGGTTTTTCATTTTTTAATTAACTTGTGGTTAGGCTTAACTTGAAGTTTTATCCAATGGGCTTCATCTATGATGATGCCAAGTCAATTAGGGGTGAAACTTCAGGTTAAATTTAATCATAAAAGTTATAACCAGATAATGAAAAATTGGTCTTATCAAGAATAATCGGCGTTTCCTTAATTGTGGTGAATTCAATAAACGATATTAATAATACAAAGCATATAAATGTTTCCACGAATAAGTAAGATTCATAATGTATTATCTAAATATGATACCTAGAGCACATGCTTCAAGTAAGAATAAAGTTGATGCAAATGTTGAAACATCACGAAGTTAAGTATACATTCGATCTGATTCCTAATTCGTAAGAAAGCCGAGCTACTCACGAAAGTTGGTGCGCGGTAATAAGAAGACTTCTCACGGCTGCAGACCGGCGTTAGAAGTCGGAGGTAAGGTAATCCGTGACTATGGCAAGATCCTAGCGGTTCGTGTTCAGAACTCCTCAGCAAGAACGTTAACGCTTATTAGAGTTTGCTCGTTAGAACAATCGCGGAGAGCATACGGCAGAATTAGCCGGCATGCCATTTAGTGATAGCTGGGCGCTTCTTGAGCAAATTGTAATTAACTACGGAAAACTGTCATTCATGCGAATACTACGCTATTAGATAATGCTCGTTATAATGCTTCGATATTGATTTATAGCATGATAAATTAAAAGGCGTTTCGATGAATACTCTTTCAATATCCTCTTCCTTTCATTAAACTCTTTTCTTTCACTCAGAAAAAAATGAAGATTTCCATATCGATATATCATGCTGTGCATTAAAAAATTTAAAAGAAATATCATTCACACTTTAGTATAGAGCATGATTACCGAACATGATTGCATTCTAAATGCGGGTCAACCTTTTTAGCGTTTTCTATTCGTCTCGAGCGCTCGATAAACTCCATTTAGGAGGCAAGCGCAAAGATGTGCTTTCGTGAAGTAATGCAAAGCATCAGACTTGTCGTGTTGGAACGTAAAGTCCTGATAATGCAAAGCGGAATAAGGCAGTCCGTCGGGCTCGCGAGCCGAGATACCGCATTGCTAAAAGGGGATTGGAAACTGGAATCTACGTGCGAAGTAGCACTTGTCGCTGCGTTCCTTTACCCTACAATGTTGAAGAACCCTTCCTTTCAGACTTTTTGGATTTGCTCGCACCTATGCGGCAGAATCTTCGCAGCCTGCAACGGCAGAAAACCGCGAAAAATCGCAGAGTCCGTATCGAATTACTTTAAGGAAGGTAAAACCTGAGAAACTAGATCGCTCTCTCTCAAATTTTATGGCCTCGGCTTTCGCCACACTTAGCTTTCTTACTCGTACTCTCCCAGCCATAAGAGATATTGTAATCACTTAAAGCTCCCGTTTTCTCGCTACAGCTATATTGAATTATAATGTCAGAAGAATTATTATGTGAATCTTTTTCTTGCGCTACACGTCGAAATTAATTTTTTTTGTACGCCAGCACTCATATATTTTGTAATCTAGATTAATAAAATATTCTGAAAATTCTGATTTTTATTATTCACTCTGTATTAAATACACTCATAATTCAGTTTGCATGTACAATTATTTATTAATCTTTGAATTCAAAAGAGAATTTACTGAATATATTTTAATAATCAATACTATATATAATATATAGCGTGTTACGATATATAAAAAAATTAATTTTGATATATATTCGTGAAAAAAAGTTTCACACATCTTGCTTCTCGCATTATAAAGAAATATTATATGTACAAAATATCAAATATTTAATCTTTAATGGGTAGATAAGGTAGTCATAGTATTCCCGATAGGTATAGTTTCGTTTAAAATTTTTTTCTTTATTCTGCAAAAAAAAATACAAAGAATTGCTCAGGCACTCAGAAATTTTAAAGTTCATTATTTTTACATTCTTCTATTTCATAAGGGTATAATTAATTAATATAAATTTGACTATAACCTAATATATTAGTTAAAAAATATCACTATAAAATTAAAATAAATTAGGTCAAAACGTAGTTCAAATTTTAAACAAAATAAAATAAATAAAAAGCATAAAACCACGAACGCAAGATGTTAGTAGCGAATAAATATATATTTCATGAGTTACAATACATAGACGTTTCGGTCTTAAATCAGACCATCCTCAGTAATAAAAAAACCCAAGTGAGAGTTATAAATACAAATCGAAATCCGCAAACATTAAACAAATAATCAAAAAGGAAATAAAAACCAGTAAACGCAAAATACACTGTTCTTGATGTAAAAAATTACACTGCATCTCCGAGAGTTCAAAAGCGCAAATTCGCAGCAAATCAAAAATGTAGTCAATAAAGTGAAAAGTACGTCAGCAAGTCGTATCCGCGTTGTAACGTATTGCGCACAAAATTTCCCGATTCTATTATAAGTATAAATAAGAAGTTAAATTAACAGAAGAACAAACAAAAATTAAATTATCAAGTGTACATTAATAAAAATTACCTGTGTTAACAATAGGTTGAGTAGCAGATAAAGGAAGTGAAAAAATAGATGTGTATAAGTTAACAGTCAAAAGCAAATTAATCTAGTTAGACCATGGCAGACCGCATTTATACAAAATTCAGTGTCGCTAGTAGAAAATTCTAGATCAAGTTTTGGACCAAGTGTTTAAAATTAAAATATTTTGGGGTGTTATAAGCATTTCATTTACCAACTTGTACATCTTTAAATTATCTATGTATTCAAAAGTTAAGTAATATTACAGATAAATTATGAAAAAATTCTTAATATTCATATAAAAATGAAGAAATAAAACTATAAAAGTAATTTTTAAAAATATATTGCTATTTATTGTCCTATTTAACTAAAATGGATCATTACATATCCTTTTTGTTCTTTGTGCAACCTTCATGTTAGATGCATATCCTATATGCGTAAAAGACTATATATGTTGCAGTTATGAAGCTACCATGTTATCTTGCCCCTGTCAACTTGCCCGAAACGGCTTAATGTAACGACGTGGCTTCTAGTTTGTAAGTTATGAATTCCTTCACTAATCCGATATGCAAAATACGTATGCTATAACTGCAGCTTCTCAAGCAAAATATCGTTTATTTTCTAGAATACATCTGAATTCATAATCTTTATATCTCACAAATGGAAAATCTTATCAATCAAAGTAAGATGCTTAAAATTAAATAAAAATAAGTAGATTTCGTTTCATTTAAACAATTTAATATACGATTTTGTGTGCTATATAAAAGCATGATCTTCATGTTATATAAAAGTTAAGGATGATTTTAGTGAAGTTTAACTAGATATAGATAATGAAAATAATTTTGTTTGACTATGAAAATAGTTACGTAGAAATTTCATGCATACTGAACAATGCTGCAAAAAAATTTTCACATTCTAGCGAGCAGTTTGAGCATCCTACATAATCATTTTGATGATCCAACAAAATTATTTTGAGATCTGTACCTAAATTTTTAGATACTTCAGCAAAACCGTCCTTTCCGCGTAGTATATTAGCCGTCATGTAGCAACTAGTTGCTATTTGTAAAGGATTTCAAGACAATTGAACGTATTTCAGTATCCATTGAATTATGCATACATCCCTTTAAATTTTCACATGTTGAATCCCACGTAAAGTGTTATATTCGTTTATTCGAAGATTTATTCCTAGTTCGCGAGAAAGTGGAAGAGCATAGCTAGTGCTCCGTACTGACGTGTGTATACAATACGTACATTCACACGGCGCGTCACGTACAACGTGAAAAGTGCCGCTTAACTCGCAAAGTGATTCGAGTGGATAGAGAGGCTAGCTGGTCCGTAACGTCTCTCGAAAAACGAAAGTCCCTACCAATTCCTATCCTTTCCTTTCGTGTCGAGTACCTCGTACTACCCTTGAAATAAAAAAAACGAACGGACGGCTTTAATCGCCGATATTACAGACTTAAACTCGCGCTGCCAAATAAGAACAGAAAGAAAGGCTGGGTCTAATATGTCAACAATGTCAAATGCAAGAAGATTTAGGATCGATGAAACCAATTTTATATAAAAATTGGGCATATTTTCCTTAGAATTTTTAAACTTATGTAGAGTAATTTAAATCAATCTTTTTCGGCAAACACAAGAATCGTTTACAAAAGAAAAATTAAACCTATACGAGAGATAAAAATTTACATGAGTCAATCGACCGTGAAATCATTCCTATTCAACTGCCTAATATTTACTCGCGTTCGTTAAGGTAGTCGGTTTTCATGCAGTGCAAATTTTGCTCATGGCATTTGCTCACTGACGCCGTGTATTTTTCACAGTTCTCGTATCTACCTGCGTCTTTCATCACCATACACGAGCCGTGGACTCTACGTGAACTTTTTAAGCTGTTTACGTAGTATCGTGTCTACTGCAAGCGGCTTTATCGCGGCTTATGAACTTGGTTCGAGTTCGATGATCGAACGAGAGTCGGTGGGGGAGACGACTAGACGAGAGGCAAGTTATAAATTCGTTATAACTCGTATACGAAATATTGACAGGGTACGAGGACGATGGCATCTCTAAAGTAAACAGACGAAGGATCTACGCGCGTGTTTCCACGGCGCGGCGCGGCGCGGCGCCTGCATCCATTACAACGGCGAAAGCTTTTAAAGGCAACTGTTTTCGATGGCAACCACAGAGACAGTTCCGCGACGATTCCTAAGTTGCTCCCCTGACATTTGTCCGCGGATTATTATTTTCGTCACGGCAATAGGGGGGAGGTTCTCTCGGGAGAAGCTTTTATTATACTCGAGACGTATCGCTTTTACCTGCCTTTCTCGCGGATAACCGCGAGAGAAACAAAACACTTGGTCTAGACAATTTAAATTCAGCGCGCCTGCCGTCCGCGACGTTTCCCTTTACTTCATTTGGCACGGAACTTTTGCCTGGCGAGTAAAACTTCCTTCGGGATCCAGCATAGAGCTAAATGAATTAAACGTTTTGAGGACGGGCGATACCAGACGGGGTTACAGCGGGCAAGACGACGTTCGCCCACTCCTGCTCTTCTTTCCTCGGTTCGACTTTAAATCCACCTTACCTGTCCGCCGATATTGTTTCGCCCACGCCTCTGAGGAAAGTTTGTTTTTAATTACTTTACTTTCGGCATAAATTGCTCGCAACGTTTACTGCCGGTCGCCGTGTGCAATAACCTCGCTTATACACGCGAACGCAAATCTTCGAAAGTGCGCTCCTGCCGCGTACTACATCCATGGCTTTACTACTTGCCCGCGTGTAATGCCATTTACGCGAGAGTATATCGACATACTGCGGCATTATAACCATCCCCCCATTCTCTCAAAGTAAATATTTTTTTTTGAAAATTAAGATACGGTGTATGCTGGCGGCTCTCAATTATTTTACAATTATAAATTAAGAAAAAAATCAACATTATGTGTTGAACATATAATGTCAAATGTTGTACTTAATTTGAATTACCTCTATTTTTTAATCATTTCTATTAACAGCCGCCACAGGAATATCTGTTCCTGCTTAATATAACGTTTATTTAATTAAAATAATGGAGTTAAATAATTTAACTCCAAGAAAATATATTATTATAAATCTGATTCAAATTTAATTATTTAATTATAATATTTCTGAATATATATAGGTTGGAAAAAAATCACGATTTTGAATAGGGAACAGTGGAAATTCTAGACAAAGAACTATTTTATTATAAAAGACTCTTATCAGAGATGATATATATACAAAAGCAGATCCCTGGTTTAAACAAGCAGAGTGATACGGAAAAATTCCCGAATATCTATTTTCCTATATTTGAGGACACACCCCCTCATCAGTGATAGTTGAGGAGGGGAAGATTCGTCTTTGCTTATTGTTAACGAAACATATGTAAGCGAACCGTTGTGCTGTAAGCATTGAATTATTCTCGTCACAATTTCATACATTTTACTGAGAATTTAATGGATGAAAGATAATTGTGGTCAAATTGTATGGTTGTAGACAAGTATTTTCAATCTTTTAATTTATTATGTCTATTTTAATTATTGACTTCTTGGAAAAAAATGAGTAAATCATAAACAATTTTATTTAAATTTATAACGATATTAGTATGTTTTTGACCTTTTAATATATGTATTTAATTTAATGACTAATTGAATAATTTTTTTACTGTAATGATTTTTTCATAAAACTGTTTTAACTCAATAACAAAATTGACGACTTTTTATAAGATAGACAAAGATTAAGATTCTGAATGTGATGTTATAGAATTTACGACTTTCATGCAAATGTTTGCCACGATTGTTACGAGATAATAAAAAGAGAAATGCATACACAAGCATATTCTTGGCATAATCGAACTATTGTCATAAGAAGCTGAATGCGGACGAAAAATGGAACAGATATAGATTCAGCAAAGCGGCGAGTAACATAAGAGCAAGATTTAATTAATTACACTCTTAAGTGATAATTCTAATGATATGTTATATTACTGTGTATTTCCAACTATGATAATTGCGGGTGCGTTTAAGACAATTTTAATGTTAAGATAATGATAAGGGAAATTTAACGACGAATATTATGGTCTATACGAAACGTCTATAGTGTATAGTCTATAGTCTGTTATGAATAAATATGTTTAAAATAATCGCAATAAGAACCAGCGTTGGCTTGAATGCTTTCATTTATATTTAATTAAATACCATAATATATGACATTATTTACTTTGAAACTAACCACAAAAATAGATTAATTTACACTGTGCATATGAAAGTTAAAAATAACAAAATATTATTTAACTAAAGGGATTGAGTATTATCATTGCTTCTTTGATACCTAACAATGAACTGCGCTAACAATAGTAAGCGTTGAATAATTATATTTTCTCGCTTTTACGCAAGGAAAAAAGGATTAGCAGTAGGAGTTAATATACGTAGTTGTGGTAGTTAAAATATGTCTTTAAAATAGGGACAGCTAATGCTGTTGCTGTTTAAGCTAAATTTGTTTTAGCTATTTGCACTTACCTTCACAGCTGCCTGTACTCTAATATATGCTTTTAATTTCAGCTAATAAAGTTTCATGCCACAATAAATGTTTTTTATCTATAATAGCCAGATGACATCAAGGCTGCAGCTTTTATAACTAAATTCGATTCAGATATTGAAATTTAACTATTATTGCCAAATCATTTTTTCCCGTGCATTTTTTTTTCTTAATAACGTGCTTCTGAATGCAATCGACGACAGTCAAAAATCAAGATTTTGATCGACAACTAGGAAATAAGGATGAAAATTAAGTGACGTCGGGAGAGTTCCCGTCGGATATTCCTCTTTTGCTTTGCCGCAAAGTGGCGGTATTAGTGATCTCGTGCGGCGTACAGCGATGGCGCGCATCGAAAATGCAATCGCGATCTCACAAGTTTGTGTTGCAAGTGTTGCAACACTTGCGACACTTCACCGGCAAGCGGAACGATTAATGTTTGGAGACCTGGATGAATATTCGCTCGACTTCTCCCCTTCGGGATAGGTCGCGCACGGCCTGTTGTCCCGTTACAGCGACTATAAATACTGCTTTGTATGCATGCCGAGTAAGGCGGACCGCCAAGCACGGATAATAGGGAAGGAAGGACCCGGAGAAGCTACTTTGTCCCTTCGTCCTAGCTCCAGCAGCTTCCCGTCTTTCCATCGCATCGCGCGCGCATGCATCGATAACGTCGTAACGTAATAACGCAAAGCTGCTCTCGCGACAACGGGGTTGACGAGGACGACGAGGACGACGGCGTCAGTTTGTGTCCGCCCACCACACCTCTATATATATATATATATATAATTATAATTATCAAAGGATTCACGGTAGCAGCGTCTCATACCTTGCGGACATTATTTTGATCCTTGCGTTACGGAGCTCATTAATGGAGCGATTACTGTACGTGTGCTCGTTACCTGTTTACTCATAGCTATTTTCAGGAAGAATTTTTATATAACTGTAGTAAAGAGAGCGAAAGAGAACGGACT